TAATAAATAAGTAAGTAGCTACTTCGTTCTCTCTGCTTTGGTCTGGTGGCCATGAAAGTGTCTTCCATGTGGATCCTCTAATCTTTAGAATATTTTTGATCATTTCTCAGTTTATCTCTTGTGCACGTAACCCCCACTGCTCCTGAGGCCTTTAAGCTCTTGGAGAGCTCTAGGAGAAGATGGAGAGTTTGACTGCAATGGTTACTCCCAAGAAGTCGGGCACATGACACCGATGTGAGTTGCTGAGAGCTGTGCCTCAGCTCCTCCATTTTCACAGGCTGAATAAGACGGCTACGTTTATAAGATTTCGCGGGAGCCTGGTTTGCCAGAGTAGGTCTGCGGACTGGGAGATCTGCAGCAGCCAAGTCGGTCCAGCCCTGAGTACATGAAATAAAGATGCACAAAAGCTGGCCATAAAAGCAGAAGCAGGTGTTCTTACCTTCCCCATCTGAAAGCACGATTCAGAGGTGAGGCTTTGACTGGCCTGAACCAGAGGCTTGGGCCTGGCTCAGCCCAGAGAGCCTTGGCAGCTCCTCCGTTGCTGCTCCTGCTGGTTGGCATCTTTCTTGCAATGCACCGTGGCTGCTGGGGCAGCGCATGATGCTCCACAGCGCCACATACCCCACTGGCTGCGGCCCCCTTGCTGGGGTCAGATGTACAGCGAGGCTCTCTTAGGGCCGCTTTTCTGGGATCATGCAAAGCGCTTCTCAGCGGAAGCCTCATCGCGGTGAAGGTTTCTCTGCGATGCTCATCTCTGCTCAGTGCATCGCTGCTTGGTGCTGCGGATGAGCACCAAGATTGTTGCCCAGATCTCTGGGATGTGTGCGGAGAGGAGAGTTCGACCCAGAGTCTCCTGTTTGGCTGGGTGAGGCCTCAAGGGTGGATTTCGTATAAAAGATGGAGGACAGCGCCCTGGTCCAGGGATGCCAAGCTCATCTGCAGCATGGGGGTTTGGGTCCCAGTGGGCTGGGTGGGGGGGAAGTGAAGAAATTCGGCCCTCCTTCCTCTGCTGCCAGGGAGGTTGTTGACATTGTAGGAGCTGTTTCTGGTGCTGCACCTCTTCTGGGGCTGCGTTCAGCACCACGGAGAACACATCTGAGGTTGAAAAGGAAAGCTGCCGTGGATGAGGAGCCCCACTTGATACAGACGCCTCCCCTGTAAAAGCAAAACAGAACAAAAGCAAACAAACACAAAACCATCCGTTCTCCCAAAAGTGCTGTTTCTATTGGAAAGAAATTCCCAACTTGTTTCCTTAGTTATATATTTTCAGGGAGAGAAAAGCAGAATATCTGCCTTGTAATCTATAAAATTACCCCCTAAACAAGGGCATGAAGTTTGAAGATACATTCTCCAGTCAGCTCAACAAAAAGCTGGAATTCTTATTAGTCAAACATTTGGGCATTAAAACTCTGGAGAAACAGCTCCATTTTGCCTCTGCAGTTGTGCGTATCTGGCACCCTTCTTTTTTTCTGAAAGAACTGCAAGGGGCTGTTTTATGGGTGAGGAATTTATCTCTGTGTGGCCTCTTCTGCTCTGTTCTGGGGAATTAGTTCCCCAAACCAATTCGCCAGAAATACATATGCCAAATCACACAAGAAATGCTGTGCATGGTTCTGGTTGCTTCATCTTGAAAAAGGCTGTTGTGCATCTGTTTAGCTTTAAAAACATGGACAAATTCATGGAGGGTATCAAAGGCTTCTAGTCCTCATGGTTCTGTGCTCCCTCCAGTATCAGAGGCAGTGTGGCTATGCCTAACTGTTCCTGGGGAATATGGGCAAGAGGGAACTGTTGCACCCATGTCCTGCTTGTGGGTTTGCAATGGGGAGCTGCTTGGTGCTGTGTGAACAGAACGCCAGACTGGGTGAACAGCTTGGCCTGACCCAGCATGGCTCTTCATACTCCTGTGTGATTTTTAAAAAGCATGCATGGTTTTAATTATTGAGCTCTATATTGCTTGCATTCCTGTTTTTCCATCCCATGTTTCTTCTTCATCTTTTAAGCTACCCCCGTCCTCTTGTTAAACCACTTTCTGCAGGTGGAAATGTAGTTTTGTGCTCTCTTGCACTGGAAAGAAACAAACCAATGCACAAACTCTCCCCGTCGTCTTTGTGACTTTTCTTCCAGTGCTCTGAGGATCAGCTTGTGACATCAGCTGAGAACAAAAGGTTTTTAGACTCAGGAACGATGGCCAAAGTGGCAACTTGTCTGTTCCCCCCCCCCCCGCCCGCCCTCTTGGCAACCTGCCTGCCCCCTCCTCCATTCCTGAACTTCGCTTGCGAGGCAGAGAGTGGCAGAAGCTTTGTGAGACAGGAAAACTCTGGAGCTCGAGGGAGAAGGTAACCATTTTCTTAGGGGTTCAAAAACGAAGGGAAAATGTCAGTATAACTGCTTGCATTTATATGGGAACGGGGTCCCTCTTTGGCTGGCTTAGAATGTCTAAAGTTCAGTCCAGTACAGCCAGTGGGGAATGTCTGAACTTTTTTATTTTTGTACTGATGTGCTGAGATAAAAGATGGCTGGCGTGGCCGTTGCCAACTCTTTTCTGAGAGGGAGAAGAGCAGTTCTGTGGCAAGCTGGTGTTCTTTGATTTGAAAGTGGACTGCGAGGCAAGCGGGAGACCCACTCCAGCTTTGCAAAGGCCAGGCTGCCCAGAACAGCCTTTGACATTCTGGTCTAGTACAGATCTGGTTTCTGTTTTCTGGAGCTGAGTTGAAATGTTTCAGGAAGGTTGTTCTTCCAGGAAAATGTCTGAGCATTTTCTCACCCCTTTAGGAAAGAGAAAGGAGTTGGGTTTGCATGATTTCTTCTCCTAATATTCTCCCCAACTTCTTTCTTTTCTTGTTTGCTTTTTAACCCCCTTTCCCCTCAAGAAAGCCCCTCCTTCACAACTTAGGAGGGAACCCAGGCCTGAAGCATTGTGCAAGATGCAAAACTGGGTCCAGGCTGCCAACACAGTGGCTTTTGCCAATGTGTGCATGCATGAAAAGCTGTGTTACCTGGGGAGCCCCACATCCAGGAGATTGCTGGAGAAATGCTCCTTCCCCTGGATAAATGCAATGGGGGCCTACTCCCACCCCACAATTTCTCTGCCCACAGACAGGGTGGAGAATGTTGAAAAGCCCTCTATGCACAGCCCTCTAGTCAAGTCGGCTCTGGGGTGCAGCCATCTCCTTTCCCCATGACAGGGAGGACTCCCCTCCCAGGTAAGACTTTGGCAGGATATACAATTGAGCTGGAGGTATTGTGGATTAAGGAATTGGTGACTGAGACGAGCCGTTAGCGTGCGGGGTTCCAGCTCTCTGTGGATGTGGCATTCCTTTCTGATTTTTCTGCAAACTCAGATTCAGTTAAGTATTAAGTTGGCGAGGAGCAGCACTTCCTGGGGTGGACTTTGAGCAGAGGTCTGTGAGTCCTTGCTCAGCGCCGAAGGAACAGGACGACCCCACGCTGAAGCAGCTGTGCAAAGCAGGGGGCGGGACCCCTTTGACTGCCCCATGGGCCATGCAAACCTGCCTGCACAGCATCAGGCAAAGTAAGGGAGGGTTTTAGCCTCACGGGGCTGATTTTGTCCAGGCTTTTGCAAATGGGTCCAAAGCTCCCTTTCCATTTCTGCCTGTCTCTGCACTGCTGTTTACCCATGGAAGAGGATTGGCTTTACTTCCTCTTCTTTTGCACTGCAATTATTTTAGGGTAGGCTAGCCAACAGGCCCAGCTTTGCCTGGGTGGGAATAGCCCTTCGTGTGAGGCACCAAAGCTTTCCACAACAGCTTGTAAGACATACAAACGCATCTCTTGCAGCGCTGATCTCCTGGTCTTCGGATGGTGTGGGTTGCAGCACTATGTACCGGTTGGGGAAGCCTGCCACCTAGTGACTGAAGGAGCACCTGCAAGCTTCTGCATGGACGTATTTAAACGAATCAAGGCCAATCCGAGCATTTCCAGACGAAGTGCCGTGGGGATCCCGTGCGGCATTTATGGCCCAGTCTTTCCCCGTATAACCTGCCAATTCCTGTTTGCATCCAGCACTTCAGGGGCAACTGGAATTGAGCACTATTCCACAATTCTATAGCCCTCTGAGTGGGATGGTGTGATCTGGCGTCCTGCAACAGCAGGGGGTCGCACCTGATGGCCTTCATGGCCCCTTCCAACTCTTCTAGTCTATGAAATGAGGCCTTTCAGTGGATCTCTTTCAGTGCCGGCTTTTCCTAATCAAGAAAAGGCGTTTCCACTCCTTCCAAAACTTCCCCTGGGAAGTGCTAATTACTTGCCGTGTAGGTGGTGAGTCCCACATGAGTAGCACAATTGGAAGGACCCACCTCTCGTGTAGCAGAATCAGTGCGGCACAGGAGGATCAGCAGAGGTATAAGTGCTTCTGAGGATTCTCCCCAAATTAATCCTGAAATACACATCAATTTGGAATGCGTTTCAGATTTCGGGCGCCTCGATGCGACAGTGCTGAGGGACAGGCAGACAGACACACCTTTGCTATTATGTTAATTTTATATCCCACAGCAACTGGGATTTTGCACTGGAGGACATTAAGAAATGCTCATGAATGGCATCAAAGAGCATGCTGGATTGGATGAGACCTGGCACCTGCCGCACCTGAAGGCCTTTTCTGGTGGAGTTCAGGCAGCGTGCAAGCAACCCTGTACGACAACCGCTATTCGTGGTTTTTTACCATGATCTCCCTGGCAGACAAGGAAGTGGTTGCTGTCAGGATCTGAACTGCTCTGCTGTCTCCAGAACCAAGAGAGCACGGCAGTGATGCCGGACGAGGGCCCCCGGCTCTGCTGGAGCTTGCTGACCCTAACAAGTCCTGGTTGGGAGACCTGGGGAAAGCTGCGTGTGTCAAACGGGCTCTTCCCTCCAGTCTTTGCCTTGGCCTTGAGGCCTTCCTGTCATGTCTCCTGGTGTTGCCTGGACTCTTGCTGCCTAGATCCATGCCCTGCTTGTGAACTCACCTTGTCTTGCCCTATTCCTGGACCCGCCAGCCTTACCTCGCCCAGGTACTTGAGCTTATCCAAAGCACCTCTTGCTCCTTCCTTGGTCAGTCTTCCTGGTAGTTGACTTTTGGACTGCTCCTTGACCATGTTTGTGCTTCTGGCACTGGGCTCCCGACTGTTCTTGGACAACGCATTCACCCCAGGCCCTTCTGCTGGGCTCTACCTGGTCTCGCGCTAATTTGCCGGGATTCTGGTGCCCTGCCCTGGTCCCTGCCACCTGTGCCCCAGACCCTGACGGTTTCTACATGATCATGGTTTCCACCCTTCCTGCTCAGTCCTCCTGCTGTTGGCGTGTATTCCGTCAGCCACCAAGCTGTGTTCAAGCACAGCTCCCTGCCTACGTTTCCTGCTTCTTCCTCATTGGTCTGCACATGGAGGCTGGAGGGCTGGAGCGCCCCCTGCAGTTGCTCTCCCTTCTAGAGAACTCTGTGGAATTTCACTCCAGGACCATGGAAACCATGATGATGGGTTCTGACAGCACAATAACCCCTGGGGGTACAGAGAAACAAACAAACCACTGTTTCTTATTATGGTTTCTAAAGACCAGACTTACCATGGTGAAATACCATGACATGACAGGCCAACAACGGTAAAGAACCCCGCCATGGCTTCTCATGCTGTCCCAGCCCAGCCTCTGCATCTGCATTTCAGGCCGTCCCCACTGCACCCATGGATGCACCAGGTCACGGTGATGACGGGAGACCATTCCATCTCGTGACTCCCGTGCTGGAGAGCATGGCTCTTTCACGTGCTGCTGGCACCCAGGTCTACATGAAACTGGAGAATGTCCAGCCTGCTGGTTCCTTCAAGATCCGAGGGATTGGCTACTTTTGCCAACAGGTGAGTGGCTACAGGTGCACCAAGGATTCCGGCTTCTCTACATTAGACCAGTAACCAGCCTGTTTTAACCCACCACTTTGCTGAGGCTTCTGCTTCCAGGTTTGTTGTGGGATTAAGTCCTGCTGCATTACATGTTTCCCCAGACCCTCCCAGGGATTTTCTTTCTGGGTGTTCCATCACACAACCACAAGGGGGCGATGCAGTATAGCAAAAGAGCAAAAAATCATGACCATTTTGCAGTGGGCTGGTCCTTTAATTTGCCCCTTCTCCATGTTCTGCTCAAAGCTGCAGACAAGCTCAGAAAACAGGGAGAGGTTTTGGATGACAGCGTTGGGTAAAGTACCCATAGCAAACTACTATGGGTGAGGAATCACAAGAGCTCAAGGAAGGCCTGGTGCAGAGAAGAATGCAAGGCTTGGATTGCAAAAGGGTCCAAGTCAGAGAGAATTCACTTTGGCAACCATCAGCCACATTAGAGGGACTGTGATCCTACAGCACACCGATGAATCAGCACAGGACGTGATCCTATGCTTGAACAGGCTCCAAAAAGCCCTAGAACACCCAGGAACCCCTACAGGATTTTTTTTCCACCATAGAACTTTTAAAACTGGAGGTTCAGCGTCCTTCCAATTTCTGCTTGGGGTGCCCCCTGTTGTGGGAGGATGCTGTGGGCTTCCAAGAGCCTTTCATTAGCGCATTTTACCACAGTATGAACATCACAGCCCTATTTTCCAACTCTCTCATCAGCCCAACGATTATCCTGAGGTTACCTCCGGTTTGCTTGGCAGACTTTCTATGCATTGCCTGCAAAGCTAGGAGCAAACCATGGTTCCTCCAAGCCCTGGGCAGAATAACCAGACCTTGTTTTCTGTGTATTTCAGGTCGTCAAGGAGGGCTGCCAACATCTGGTTTGCTCCTCAGGTAAATACATGTGCCCACCTGACTTTAAATTTCTCTCCTGCCTCATCCACAGCTGGAACTATGGGATATGCCGTAGTCCAGTTCTGCTCTTTCAGCCCAAGGACTGCATCTGATTTTAGTTCTTGATGGCTGCATGCACAGTAAGGGAAGGGGCCAAAGGTTTGTGGCCAAAAATACGCAAAATGCCAGCCTTTTAAAAAGCTTAAACCCAGTAACTGAGGCAGTTAGGAAAGACATGTCCACCATTTGCAAAGGATAGGAAACAGCACAAAAGAGGGGGAACTAAATAGAGATAAGAGCCCAATCTCCCGGGTCCCGGGCCCAGACTCTCACCGCTATGCCGCCTTTGAACTGCAAATACTGGAGTCCCAGAGATGTTTTGCAGCTGGGCTGGTCTCTGGGACATCATGGAGAGGCCGTATATCACCGATATTAAAGTCTCTGCTCTGGCTGCCAACGTGTTTCTGGATGCAGTACAAGGTGTTGGTAATTACCTTCGAAGCCTTTCATGGCTCGGGTCCAACATGCCACCTGGAGTGTGTTTGCCCATATATTCTGCCTTGCCTGCGAAGGTCCTCCGGGGATAATCTTATGAAGCTTGTACAATCTGATTTATTTATTTATTTATTTATGTTTACAACTTTTCTATACCGTTCCCTTACAGACGTCTCGGGACAGTTTACAACAAATTAATACAATAAATTAAAAATAAAAATAGGAATAACAGTTGCACAGCATCCGATGTTAAAATGAAAGCACTAAATAAAGCAGGTTAACAATTAAAATACTGGGAGAATAAAAAGTTTTCGCCTGACGCTGAAAGGAAAGAAGTGTGGGTGCCAGGCGAACCTTTCTGGGGAGCATGTTCCACAATCAGGGTGCCACTGCAGAGAAGACCCTCCTCTGGATAGTCACCCTCTTGATCTTTTTCAGGGACGGTTCCCAGAGGGCCTCTGACTCAGATCTTAAGGGACAGAGGGCACATGGGTGGGGGGAAGATTAATGTCAACTCCCCAGAGGACTTTCTCCGGGGTTGCCCTTAAGCTATGGAATGATCTGCTGGGAGAGATACATCTGATTTCCCAGATTGCTACCTTCAAGAGCAAGTTAGGAACATGTCTCTTCCAACCAGCCTTCCCAGATTACTTCCCAGATTAGTTTTATTTAGCTTGCTTGTTTTTAGTAGAAATTAACTATTGCTGGTTTTGATCTCTTGTAAACAGTCCAGAGCCTGTGGCATATAAAAATCATAGAATTCTTGGAAGGCTTTGTCTGGAAAGCCGAAAGTGGTTTTTGGCGTGGGTATTTGGGTCTGGTACCCATGGTGGTGATGGTGAAGCTACCCCTCCTCTGGCTCCCCATAGGTGGCAATGCCGGTCTTGCTGCAGCACATGCAGCTGGAAAACTAGGAATCCCAGCCACCATCGTCGTACCTGGAAGTGCAACGCAGGTGACAGTCAAGAAGTTGGAGCAGATGGGAGCAGACGTGGAGGTCTTTGGGAAGGTAAATGGAGCGGGAAAGAGGCTAACTTGGGTCAGGCTTCCCTGATGGTTGAGGATCAAAACCGTCCCAATCCCTTAAATCAGGGTTTCCAAACACTTTTTTGTCTTCCTGCCGCATCTCTGGATCTCAGCTGTGTTCAGGAAAAAAATTGTTTCATGTCTATTGGACATGGAAACATCCCTTTAATAAAAGATAGTCTAATTCAGCTCATTGTTGAACCAGTGCCTGTTCTAAACAAAAGTTCTGGCAAAGTTCAGTAGCTGTTTCCTTTTGGGAGGAAGGAATGCAGATAAATGTTGCACTGGGACAGTCTTTGAATGATAATTGATGAAGAGGCACATTTAAAAGACTAACCCTCTTCATGGAAATTTACAAATGGGACATGGATTCTCTCTACCGCTTTGGCCACTAAAAGCCTGATATGGCAACTTTTGAATGATACACTTGCTTCCTATAATGCCATGGACTGAGGAACTTACAGTATTGGAACTGGTCACCTACAGATGCCACCTACACATGGATGTTTCTTTGGACATTTGGGCAACTTTTCTTGAAACTTAATTGCTAGAACATGGCATGCATTTCATGCGCGTCCATGCCAGGCGCCCATTGGCACTTCAGTAGAGGGCACTCCATGGTGTCACTGGAAAGGTCCATGGGAAAGAATGTGGGAGAGATCCATTGACTTCCCTGGGTTCAGCTCCCCGGACTCTGGCCCATCATCCCATGGATGTGCCCCCAGCTCCCTGGCAAATGCACTGGGGGTTCACATGGCCCCCCACCAGGAATCTACTCTGCCCAGACCCTGCACAAGCGGCATCCCTCTTCTCTGCCCACGACTTGCGTCCTTCGCTTGTGCTGGAAAAAGGTTGCCGGTTGCACAAACGCGCTTCCATGAGTGTGTGTGGATTTCCTCTCGGGTCAGCTCACCTTCCAAGACAGGGCTGTGCCTGATAGGAAGTGCACACTCTGAAACTGGGTGGCTATTGGGGAGCTGCATCGGCCCCCCGCCCACAGGGACGGTGTTGAGCCCCGGGCCGAGGTGGCTCTGGAAAAAGGGCCTTTCCCCTTGGAGGGCTCAGTCTTGCATTATGGGCTAGAGTAGGATTCTTCTGCTTGGATTATCCTTTCTCTGCGTTTCAGTCCAGTTCAACCAGCTGTAAAGAAACGTAGGATCAAAGAGTCGTCGAGTTGGAAGGGATATGTTTGCTTGCAGTAAGACATCAGACTTGGGTCCTTCTGCAGTTTTTAGGATAGCCAGAACTTATTACTAAACAGTGAAATAAAGAGATAACATTAAACATCCCGGAGAAAAAATCTGCCCCGAGTTGCCCTTATAATGTAATAATAATAATCATAATCATAATCCTTTGTAATACTCACTGTACTCATAACCATAGTGGCTATTTTTCTCTTTTTCCTGAGTGCTTGTTGGCAAAGGATGAAAGCAGCCCCAGAGGGGGAGAAGCACTGCTGAGCACGCCAGGTGATGCCTCTGGCCAGATGCCCGCTTTCCCAGCCTGTGCTCCTCAGCGTGAGGCCTTTTCAGACTTTTTCTCTGAAAAGGTGTATTGTGAGCATGCCATCAGAAAACGCTCCTGCCTTGTTATCAAGTCTTTTTATACGTTTAGGAAAGGCAGTCTGTTATACAATAAATACTTTGCAAGGTTAAGGACTCCGGCTCCTTGACTTCCACAAGAAGGTGTGAGAATATGTGTTATTATCAGCACCGCTATCCCCAGTGCTTGAAGATAATCCCACGGCAGTGCCCTCAGTTGACTTGTGTTGTTGTGTTATATTGTGCATTCATTCCGATGCGAGGTTAAAACTGAACTTTTGAGAAAGCAAATTGCATGCTGGTTTTTAACTTCCTAATTTTAGCATATATGGCTGTGCTTGTTTTACCTCTTTGGGTATAACCTTTGTTCAAGGTATGCTTATCCTCCCTTTTTCTGATGAATGAACAAACAATCAAATGCCAGTCACTTAAGTCCTGGGGTTCTTACTATATTTTCTATTAACTTGAGCTCTCCATAGCTCATTATGGGTACCTATTATGCTTGGCAGACACTGTCTGGCCAGGAGACTTCCTGCTGCTACTTAGGGAAGTCTTCTGAGGTTGCAGTGGAGACTTTGGTTTTGGGGGTTGCCCTCTACGCCCTCAGCTGGTGTATTTCTTTCTGTGCTGGCTGTGGAGCTAAAGGCAGGAGACTTCTTTTTCTTGCACAAATATTGCATATAATATCAAGTTCAAAAAATTCACAAAAAGTCAGTGGTTGTTGTCTCTTCTACACTCAGTTAAATTAACAAGTACTTAACTGAAACTCATACAGCAATTGTTCTAATTTATAGTTAATATTAATTTATTTTCCAATGGAAAGCAGAAGATTACCCAACTAGAGAAGTTCAGAAAAATAAGCTAACTGAATATGCAGAAATGGCAAAACTAGCTGGGTACAAAAATAGAAGACCAGCTAAAGAATGTAATGATAAATAGAAAGCTTATTATGAACAATTTATTTAATAACAAAAATAGAGCTTGGAAAATATCATTAGTGGGTTATAGTTTTAAAACCAATGCTTTGGTGTTATTTAAAATTAATTTAAAAGACAGGAGACTTTTGGGGAATGTTCCAGGGAGAAGGGAGAGGGTGGGAGAGGCATTGCCAGCTTCCAAGTCTGCTGATGCCTCCACCCCTTCTCTGGCTAGGATGGGGAAAACATTGAGATGTCTGAAATTGGCCATCTCAGTGCTCTGAGGGCTTTACATCCTTACTGCTTCTGAGTTGTGGGGGTGGGGAGATTGTCTAAAGCTATGAAGGTTCTCCCTACTGCTAGAAGGCAGGGGTCGGTATGGTTCCAAGCAGGAGGAACATGTTATCCAGAAGGTTGCTGCACGGCACCAAGGAAGTCCCTGCCTTGTATTGCCCCGTGGAAGCCAAACACTGCAGACGCATTTCCAGTGGTTCCCTGACTGACTAGGCTGTGAGTGTGGTTCTAGGTTCACTGATAGGCATCTCCCTCCCAACTCAGTGGAGGTTTTCCTGTCTCTTCTTGTGCAGGTGTGGGATGATGCCAATGACAGAGCGATGGTGCTAGCCAAGGCAGATGGCTGGGTCAACATCCACCCTTTCGACCACCCCTTAGTATGGTAAGAACTTTCGAAAGCAAAACCACGAGCAGTTATTTTACACCTGACTCCCTGCAAGGGGGAGTCCTAACCCTGGCCCTGGCCCCTCCTTCCTTCCTTACCCAAGGAGGGCCCTGTTGGATGTCGTTTGGGTGGTTTTGTGGACTCTCCTTGACCTTGTGCTGCAGCTTGGTTGGCTCAGTTTCCATTTGCTCTGAAGATGCTGCCCACTTAGGAAGGTGTGCAAATGCATATGCGTTTCATTATGCATAAAAAGCAGAACCATAGACTAGTAGAGTTGGATGGGGCCCTGAAGGCCATCCAGTCCAAGCTCCTGCTGTTGCAGGACGCCATTTATGTTTCCTAAGTGAATCCTGAACCCCTAAGCAAAAACGGCATGAGGAAATTACATATATGTGCCAATCCCTCCATGGACCGCTCTGGCGGCTTCTCTCCTTACAGGAAGGGACATAGCAGCATTGTCAAAGAGCTGAAGGACTTCCTGGGTGCCAAGCCAGGCGCCATTGTGCTCTCCGTGGGAGGAGGTGGACTGCTGTGTGGGGTGGTGTCTGGTCTGCAGGAAGTGGGCTGGCTGGATGTGCCCGTCGTTGCCGTGGAGACGAGAGGGGCGGACAGTCTCAATGCAGCCATCCGTGCTGGGCATCTTGTCACGCTGCCTGACATAACCAGGTAGGTTGCTTGGGCTGGAGCTCTGGTAGCTGGAGAAGAGCTAGGCCTGGGCCCATGGGAAAGCTCTCGCTGGATACAGTTCCCATGGGCCCCTGGTCTGTACCCCAGAGCACTGACAGACCGTTGGTGGCAACTGACAGTGCGGTTTATCCTGGGTACTTACTTTTCATCCACCAAATTGGTTCCTTGTTCTGACTGGAGGAAGGCCCTCCAAAGAAGAGAATCAGCGAGCAGGTGGCATCTTGCTGAGAGTGCTCAATCCATAAAGAGGGCCCCAAGCATCTTTGGCTTCCAGGAAAGTGCTCCCTTGACGAGTCCATCCAGCTCTGATTTGTTCTTGCATTTCTTCTTCTGCCTTTGACTTTCCCTCGCATGTTGGTCTTCTCCAGGGAGCCTTGCCTTGCAATTGTCCATGGGCCCAGAGCCTCTCTTGGCCTTGATCTGACCGCACCCCAGGCTCCCCGTGTCCCTGGCATTCCCGCCACCTTAATTTACCCTTTGCTGTCTATTCTGCAGTGTGGCGAAGTGCCTCGGTGCTAAGACAGTGGCGCAGAGGGCCTTGGATTGCACCAAGGAGTGGCCGGTCATCTCTCATGTCCTGGATGATGTGGAGGCACTGAAAGCTGTGGAGCAATTCCTGGGTGAGTTTTGGAGGCCGTCACCAAGTCTGAGCAGTGGAAACGGGCAGTGGCAATTCAGACTCACATCACGCAGGCTCTCCATCTTCCTGGTTTCATCGCTCGCTCACTCACTCATGCATGCATTCATAGAATCATAGAATAGGAGAGCTGGAAGGGGCCATGAAGGCCATCAGGTCCAGCCCCCTGCTGTTGCAGGACACCACGTTACACCATCCCACTCAGATGGCCAACCAGTTTCTTCTTGAATGTCTCCAGGGTGGGAGAGCCCCCCACCTCTCCAGGCAGCTGGTCCCACTGTCGTATTGCTCTGACAGTGAGGAAGCTTTTCCTGATGTCCAGCCTGAATCTGGGTTGTCGCAACTTGAACTGATTATTCTGTGTCCTACACTTGGGCATCAGCAAGAAGAGATCTTGACCTTCCTTTTTGTGACAGCCTTGGAGGGACTTATATAGGGAGTTCACCGGGCCCTGGAGATTTGAACGTGCTTATTCCACCTAGGTGTTCCTTGACCATTTGTCTGTCAACCTCGGGCTGCCATCTCTCACTTCCAGCTTGAACTTCCTCCTGCTGGCAGATTTCTTTGTGGGAGAAGACTGAGTCCGAGTAGGAATTGAGTGCCTCTGCCTTTTCCTTGTTGTCTGCTATCACTTTGTCATCCTCTTGAAGTAGCTGGACAGCCTTCTCTTTCTCATGTCATGTCATTCATTCATTCATTCCATTCCTAAGGGTGACATTTCATGGCCCGATGAGATTATCTGAGGAGCTTAGGACTATTGGAGCCCCAGCTGCAAGAACGGGGGCAGGCTGTGGTGGTGGTGGGGCTGAAGAGTTTCTCTGGCTCCTCTCCTCCCACTCTCTGGTACCTTTTCCAGGTGCCGAAAATGGCCATCAAGAGAAACCTCAGGGAGTGAGGCGTGCAGGGAGCAGAGAGGCTGCCCTGCCTCTGACCCAGCACGTGGGATGCACGGAAGTGTCCAGTGCGGAGGGTTGCGTGCATTGAGGGCCGGGGTGAGACGCTCATGCCTGGAACTGCTTGCTCCTCAGAGCTTTCAGTGCAGTCTGCAAAGACCGAAGCCGTAAAATACATTATAAAAATCATAGATATGCGCAGAGATATAAACAGGCAGCACATAGAGGGAGGGACACAGATATATTTAAAGACAGTCTTAAATAATCAGCAAGAACACTTTCAAGACTGGATGAAAAACTGCATCACAGGCTGTCAAAGCCCTGAGAGGAGGAGAAGGTCTTAGCCTGGCATTGACAAGATAATGATGTTGATGCCAGGCAGGGCTTGTTGAGGAGATCCTCCTGTCCTGTAAGTGGGGACCACGGCCGAGCAGGCCCCTCCCTTGCCGCTGCCTTCCAGGCCTCCCTTGGTCAGGGCTTTAGGTGATACACAGAGAACAGGTTCGTGGTTCGCTGGACTGTGTTCTGCGGTCAGAAAATTGCAAGTTGTCTCCAAAAAATCTTATGTAATGCAAACCTCTAACCGATTTATTCATAAAATAATTTTTATACCACTTTCCGGTCCCCAAATAGGTCTTTTAACCTAAAAGAAAACACACAGACAGGAATACCCAATTAAAATAGGAGGATTTGCATCTGCAAAAGGAAGGGCTCTCTGTCCCCACCCCATAGCAAGCAGAGTTGCCCCATTCAGCAGGCTCTCTTGCTCTCTGTGTAGCACTTTCAGAGGCTTAGGGGTGTGTGGAGGGCAGGAGAGACCACTCCTTTCAGATCTGATAGGAATCTTGATTCAATCCATTGAAAGCCAAGAATGGGATAAAATGGGCTAGAACATAAATGAGCCGAGAAGGAGAGAAAAGATTCAAACCAGGGCAAAGCTGGGTGACAAAAACACAAAGACTTAGCAGCTTATCTACAGCTTAACGGGGAAGGTGCCAACCCTGCCTCTCTAGAGGGGATGCTCAGAGAGAATTAGTGCCATAACAAAACTTTCTCCTGCTGTTTGTGCTTGCATGGGATGGCTGTGAAGGCTGAGAACAAGAGTTAAACAACTTCTCCCTGAGGGCCGGTAGCCATTCTTGCCTTTGCCCAGCTTTGCAAATCCCAGCTTTGGTTATTTGTATAATCGGCCCTGTATTGTTTGATGGCAGCGGGTTTTTACAGTCTTGGGCAGAAGGGAGAGAGAGAGAGAGAGAGAGAGAGAGAGAGAGAGAGAGAGAGAGAGTTTCCCCATCCTGTCCCACCTGATCCTTGCTTCAAAATGGAGAGGCCAAGCAACTGAACGCAGAGAACGTGGTTCCTACTGGCGGTATCATGAAGCAGGGTGAAGCGACCTCCTTTGGGTGGATCCAGCAGCGGACGCAGGGACTGGTGTCTGAAGGTCGCAGCAAGACTTTGTTTTCGGATCTTGACCCTAGCGGAGGTGGTGGTGTGGGGGAGGAAATGCCGTTTAGGGTCTGCTTCAGGTGGCAAAATGTTTTGGGCAGGCACTGGCTGCTGGCTCTTTCCATATTCCGAATTCTTTAACTGGCTTCACTTGATCTCTTTCGCCCTGTGGGGCAAATAGATCTGTGCAGCAACCCTGGAGAGAGGGGGACTTTCTGTGCTTCTGCAGGGCACGTGCCAGTGCAGATGGCTATCGATAACGAAGACCATAAAATGCGACACAACAGAATGCAACATAAATGTGTAAATACAGTATGAAACAAAGCTGTACTGCAAGGATTTAAAACAAGGCACCAGAATTAAAACATACTGAAAAACGAAAGTGCCTGGGAAAGAAGGACAGCTGGCCCTGAAAGGAGCCTGGTCCAGGTGGTAGGGGAGGCTCTCCGGGAAGCTTGTTCCACGACTGAGGAGCCACCCCCGAAAAGGCCCTTCTCTGGCAAGCCATCCAGCTCATTTTCTTTGCGGGCACCCCGAGAAGGACTGCTGCTGCTGATCGTAGGGTCTGGGCAGGGGTCTGTGGGAGATGATCCTTCACGTAACCTGGCTTACCTGGGAGTAAGCATGCTGGGAGACGATTGCCCACACGTGTGCATGATTTGGGCTCAGGGAACAGCATGGGAGTCAGGGGTCATTTTCACTCCCTCTCCTGACACTCCCCATCCTGAATCCTATGGGCATCTTCAAGTAAAGCTCAGACGCCCTGCCATGACATGGCAGTCCTGGCGCAGGGAAGCTCTGCAGCTCATTGGCAGCGCACGGTTCTGGATGCGCAGGTTTGCAGGGCCAGTGCTGGCTCCAGGCAGGACTCGGAAAGAACCTGCATGGAACTCCAGAGATGCTCCCCGTCCTGCCAGTACTGCTGGGCAATGCAGACCAGTGCGTGGAGCAGCTTGCGTCCCTCATGCGCCTCCTCTTCTCGCGGCCTTCTCTTTCCAGATGACGAGCGCATGTTGGTGGAGCCGGCCTGCGGGGCTTCCCTGGCCTTCCTCTACTCTGGCTATGTTCAGCAGCTGCAGGAGGAAGGCCGGCTGAGCCGCCAACTGGACTCCATCGTTGTCATCGTCTGTGGCGGAAGCAGCATCCAGATGGAGGGACTTCGGGCCATGAAGAGCCAGCTGGGGATGAAGTGAGGAAGGGCAGCTCTGTTCTCGAAGAACACCTGGCCAGCCACGAGTCTTGCGTCTGCTTCCAGATTAGATGCTATGCCTCCCGGCCTCTCGCCCTGCTGGGAACACCATCCAATTGCTGAGTTGGCTGTCCAGAAGGACTCTTCCCTTGGGAATGATCCTGGGTTGCTGGAATGCGAAAGCACCCCTGTGGCTTCTTCTTGGTTGGAGTCCTGCAGCATCTTCACAAATCCACCGGGGTATCAGCACTGCTGGTTGGCTAGTGCCAGACCACCGGGTCTTCGAACGAGCCCTCGACATCTCCCACCTTGCTCACAAAGCAGCGTCACTCAGGCGCTGTGCGGACTGGTGCCTCCCATGTCAGCGGGGTGATGAATCCACTCCGGGTTTTGATGTGAACATTTTAGGGACTGCCCATGGCACAGAACCCCCCAATAGGTGCAGAACCGAGGGAAGCACCTCTAAAGTTCAGACTGAAACCCGCCGTGGATACACTATCCTACTGATGTTGGAGCCACAAGGCTCTGGGGCAGGAATGCAACCCGTGGCTTATAACAGCAGGTGCTGCTGCAGGATAAGGTCACAGGTTGTGCTTCACGCAGGTGCGAAGGGCTTGTTTGGATGCTCTTTGCTGAACCCTGCATACTTTCTCGAGAGCTTCAGATCCCCAGTGTTATGATGGGAGGAATGATTGTGACCAGCCTCCAAGGGTCACAATTCCTTAACCTGCCCAGTGTAAACAGTCTGAAACTGGAGGAGATTAGCAGCTTTTTAATAAAAGGTAGTCAATACACTGTATTTGGTTTCAGTGCAGAGTTATGGAACCACAGAAGAGTAGAATTGGAAGGGGCTTCTAAGGCCATTGAGTCCACCTCCCTGCTCAGTACAAGACTCCAAGTTGAACCATCCCTCTCAGAGGGCTGCCCAGTTGCATCTTAAATGCCTCCAGTGTAGAAGAACCTACCAGCTCCCTAGCTCACTGGTTCCACTACTGCATTGCTCTAACAGTCAGGAAATTTTTCCTGATATCTAGCCAGAATCCAGCTTCCTGCAACTTAAGTCCATTATTCCATGTCCTGCATTCTGGGGTGGTGGAGAAGAAATTCTGGCGGTCCTCTGTGTGACAGCCTTTCAAATATTTGAAAAGTGCCATCGTATCTCCCTCAGTCTTCTCTGCTCAGGGCGAAACATGCCCAGTCCTTTCCACCTCTCCTCATAGGGCTTGCTTCCAGGCCCCTGATCATCTCTGTTGTCCTCCTCTGGACTTTTCCCATGCTCTGCAGAAAGTTTTTCCTTTTCTGCTTTTCTACTATGTAACCTCTAGGTGGCACTGTGTTAGAGAAGAATAGCACTATTACACAAGCAAGGAGATAAATTTTGCTTCGTCGCAACAATACTGCATTTTCATCACTCCAGAACAAAAACAATCGAAAAGCTTGACGAAGGTGCTCTCTGAAAACTGAAGTGCAGCTGAAGGGTTGCGGTGTTGTCTAGAAGCACTGCAGACAGTAAATGTTGGCACACAATAAAAACAAGCTGAGCTATGCAGTGCGTTCCCCCTTGATCTGGGGGGCAATTCATCACCCAATAAAGGGAGTGGACATTCCATTCACTTGGGGGACCACACAGCTGCCCCATGGCAGGGGCCACCCCTAAGGGTGCTGGCCAGTATGGCTTCTCTCAGTCCGGCTCCGCATCTCTGGCAACTGCATGTTCGCTTGCAACCTTCTCTGCCTCCTTGGAAGTCCGTTCCCACCCATGCAAAAATGCGTCCATAATAAATACTTCTGATTTCCAATTTGCTTCATGTGCAGTTCATGGCCACAGAACCTCAGAGTGTCAGTGGGCTGCAGAGTTCAGGTACAGCGTGTCTGTGGCGGTTTCCTACCCACAAGAACCACCATCACCTGCTCATTCATATCAACACTGGCAAATCAGAGAGAAATCTAGTTTGTTTGTTTTTTTGAATCCAACGGTCTTCTGTATGTTGCAAATTCAAAACTGTGCTTCCCCATCCCTCCCTCCGCAATTTGACATGGTACAGTCCTTTCTGCCATGCTACGAACAGTCTGGTGTAGTGATTAGCAGTGCAGGACTGGGACTCAGACGATCTGGGTTCGAGTCCCCACTCAGCCATGGAGCCAACTGGGTGACTCTGGGCCAGGCACAGATTCTCAGCCCAACCTACCTCACAGGGTCGTTGTTGTGGGGATAAGATCAAGAGCAGCAGGAAGAGAAGGATTTGAGTTCATTGTAAGAAAGAAGCAGGATATAAATCCAACCTAGACTAGGGCCTTCCTTGAGTGTACGCAGCCTCAATGTGATGCCCTCCAGGTGCACTGGAAGGCAATTCCCATGATCCACAGCCCCCACAGTGGCAGCAAATAAAAACGCTGCCCCGAAGAGCTACACTCCTTCAAACCTCTCTTTGCTCCAAACACTGAGCATCAGGAAGGGCCCTCGCCTCTGCTCCAGGCAAGATTGCCCCTCAGCCAGTCCCCGTGGGGGCCTCGGTTGTTCCGGAGCCTTGTGTGCTCAGGTGAGTCATCTGTCCTTGCCTCCCTCCCCATTCGTCAGGCTTCAGTTGTGTGGTGTGTGAAACTGGGATACCGGTGTCGGCTGTTGACTTTAGACCCGGAGCGCGGGGCAAACTGACACAAGGTTCGTTCTGTTCTGGGAAGCATTTTTTTTCTTCAGTGCCGTGTGCTTTGACCGCAGAAGACACATGTTGCTTTCACACAGAGGAGGAATCAAACCACAAAAGGTGTGTGTGTGTGTGATGACTCAGGCTTCAGGAGCTAAATAAAAGGAGCAGGATGATAACTCAGCAAAGGATCCTGCTGATGGTTTTGGATGCAGTCTTCCAGATGCCTGCATTTGAAGAAGGAAAGCAGAGAATAAGGCCCCAAGGGAGAGGTGGATTGGGCCCCTGGACCTGGACTCCTGCACCCCCTACTTTATGGGGCATGGTGGAAGCTGGTGGCTGCGATATCACGGGAACAGTGTGGTCACTCTGGGTTGCAGTCCGAACTTTTAAGAGGCCGCCTGTAGCCCAAACAAGCTCAGAACCATGGACAGCTCCTTTAGAGTTTAGGGCTGGACACACGGGCCCCACTGACTCGGAGCTGCCCATCAACCTTACCGTTACCATCATCATCTTCTTCTTCATTGCCATTTCTCCTGTACTGTCCAATAGCCAAAGCACCCCAGCCAACTGACAAGAGACAAACACCTGCAAAATACAAGCGGCATAATATAAAAATTATTTATGCAACCATTTACAGAACTCTGCAATAACAAAAAACACCCCCTCCCCCAAGACCAAGCAAAATGCCATGCTATGCTGTAAGATGCCAGTCTTCACCTGGTGCCCCAAGGATGGCAGCATCAATGGAGAGATCGTCATTTCAGTCGGGGGGCTGCCACTGGGAAGGCCCCCTCCCTTGCGGTCACCCTCTGAACCCCTGCAGGCCCCTAGAGGCAAGCTTCCAAACTGCAGTGCATCTCAGAGAGGCAGAGAGGCTGCCGTTTGCCCTGTGGAGATAACAAATACCCTCTCCCTTGGATCTCCAGGCACTGGATGCAAACACAGTTCCCAGTGGAGCCCTGTGTCCCCCATGCCAGTGGGTCAGTTCATCCATTTGGTTTTTGCTCTGGACTTTACAGGAGGCGTGCATGGTGCTGTACGTAGATTGGGAGGGGAGGAGATTGGCTTCAGAACCGTGGATGATTCCTGGAATGGACCACCCCTCCGGCTGATGTTGGTGCTGCTGACTTCCAATTGCAAGTCCTTGTATAGCTTGTCAGTTGAGGGGATTCCTCTAGGCAGGCTGAAGACTTAGAAACAGGGATGGGCAACCGCTCTCAGTCCAGGGGCCAAACGCAATTTCAGAGAAGCTCTTGGGGGCCAAAGTCAAAAGCGGCAGGGCCAGAAAGAACCCCCCCCCCGAAAGGGGGCATTGTAAGGATGTTTGTTTGTTTGTTTGTTTATTTAGCAAACTTATATGCCACTCCATTCGCCAAAGCCTCGGGGCGGCTTACAAACATAAATAAATCACCAGTTCAATTAAATATAAAATTGGAGACATCCTGGCCAAAGTTATTAAAATCAATAAATAATATTAACAATTAAAACAATATTAACAATTAAAATGACTGAGGCATGCTGGGAGTTGTAGGCCTTTTTCTGTCTAAACAGGCATGAGGCTGTGCCTTAAAGTTCTGTTCCTGGGCCTTAGGGAGCAGTTCAGAATGGGGGACTCCCTCTCTGCCTGCAGGGAAAGTTCCAGGCTTCTCTGCACTGGGAAAAGGACGTGCCAGAGGGAGGAAGAGGAACAGCTCTGCCTTCATCCCTCTGATACCATGCTTGGTCTGGGGGTGGAGTGGGAGGAGAACCCAGCCAGGGGACCAAAGCAAGTTGCAGGTCCCTGATGGAAGGGGAAGGCAGGCGACGGGGTCAGATGAGTTGAAGATCGGCTGTTTGGACGGAGGAGGGCTGGGCTAGGCTCTTTCAATGAACGCAGCCTTCTAATTGCTTCCTGAAATCTCTATTTGCACGTATTTCTGCCTGCTTAAGTAGAGGCAAGGTCCCCGTGGTTTTGCCTGCATTGGCGTATGCACTGGGGGGAAGATGATTATCGTTCATAGCCATCAATATTTATCTGCAGTCAGATTGTTTTGACTTCAGCTCTGTGCTTTAAATAGCAAGCGTGCCATCTCAGGCTCATTTGTCTGCCACTGTCTCCATGCATTATTGTCATAATTATTTTTAATTACGCCCACCCTCTCCTGTTGCTTGTGGAAGCAGGTCACAGGAAAACCATCCAAACGGAGTCATCTGGGGCACGGATGGTCGCTGGGCTGGAAAAAGGAAGCCCCCCCCCCCCCACTGGCCACACACTTCATCTCACTAAAACCTCTGGTCAGCAACTCATTTTAAGCAGGCCTTCTTTGATTTAGGGGAGGCGCTGCACACCCCGCGGCGCCACCCTCGAGGTAGCTCG